AAACGGCGTGGAGGTTGGACATCTTTTCTCTCACTCTGCGTGCCAACTCCACCACTTCGCTGACGTCATCTGCGGAGAGGAGCCGTGAAAGAAAACACATGTTGATTAGATTTGGACAGAATCCAAACACGGGAGAAAATATGTTTTCTCACCGGAGTGTGTGTAGACAAGAAGAACGATGTCATGGTCGTTGAGAGAGGGAAGAACTAGATGCAAAAAATCTTCATGCCCTATGCAAAAGTCAGGACCCTAGAGGGGAGAAAACACATGATATATTCAAATGCCTATAAGCATACACCATGTATATCCAGCATTTCATATAAAGCAAAACACACTTAGGCAGGTTCACTTTTTATTGTGATTGATGATTGTTTTCTTATATTTTCGTTATTTTTTTACTTTAACTCTGATTGTTGTTTCTTTAGTTATGAATATTTAATGTTATTGAGAAAAAAAAGTTTTGTGGGGTTATAACCATTAAGATTTTCCTGATCAAACACTCAAATTCTTTGCTTGTTTCCATTAACAAAGCCAAAATGGTGTGACATGCAGAAGGGATTCACAAGAAATCAGCCTAACATACAGTATGTATGTGCATCTTTAAATATACTAAATAATAGATGTTTTAAGAAATCTACAAAAATGAATATAAATAGTACATACAAATTTCAAAAAGTCAAATTCAACAAAAAACAAACTGAAATAAAACCTTCCAGTGTAATAAAAAGACTAAAGCAGATTAATTGAAAACAGACATGAAAAAGCCGGTACAGTAGGATGTATTTCATTTTAATCCTGTTCCAGGTTAATCTACAAGTCAGGTTCAGCAGAGACAGATGTGTCATTACACAGTGTAAAATAAGAGCTGGATTTCACTTTAATTGGATTTCACTGGATTTGAGACATTTTAATACTTTAATGGTAAGGTAATTTTTTTTTTGACTTGTTTAAGACCCACAAATGAGCCAAAACAGAAATGTCCGTGTTATGCAGCCAGTACTGACAACTGTAGAGGAAGTTCAGAGAGATGTTAAATCTCCTGTACAGCGGCAGTTTCTCTTCCCTAAAGACCACACACGGTGAATTGTGTCAAATAAGAGCTTTTGTTTTCTATTAACAATAATTACTTGTTCCTTTTTTCTAATTGTCCTCTTTTGTTTAAACAGATGTTAATTCATTGTTTCCTTTCACATACCAGTGAAATCAGGGGGCCCTCGTTGTTGTTCAGCTCTCTGTATCCCCCACTGACGAAGCCTCGAACATCTTCGTAGTCTCAAACACACACACACACACACACACAGAATAAATATCATGCAAATGTAAAAGATGTGTCTCTTCCAGATTACTATTTAAATGCATATCTGGTCATTAACCACAGACTGTTACTGGATCTCTTATGTGTCACCTAATCACCCAGAAAAAGAAAACATTCATTCAAGTGCTAATGAAGCCGAGTTGTTTCGCTGCTAATGAGCACATCACACTGCTCTTACCTGCTCCAAAGGTGGGGATACACTCACTGGCGTCAATGAGGCCCAGCAGAGCCAGCGAGCCCCAGCCCATGTAACACACACGCCTGCCGCACAGCAAACTGAAACACATATAGTAGAGCTCCAAATCTTCTTCATAAATAAAAACAGTGATTGACAAAGAGTCTATTGCTTAACACACAAACACAGTTATATCATCTTAGCATTCTAGATGTCTGCAATACAGTACAGTACAAATATCAAAATACCATTTAAGAAAGGCTCTTATTGCACATGTGTGGACTACCAGTACTGTAGATCAGTTGCTAGAGTTTTCTCTAGCACTGGAAGCTTTAGGAGCAGCTAATCCACCTTGACAAATGTCATTATTGTGGGTTTCAATGGAGGTTTCAGATGCATTTCAACAATTAAAATGTTTTTCAGTATTGGTTTTTCAGTCATTTTAGTCGTTTGTATTTCAGTTTTTTTGTGAAATGTTTGAGGATGACTGGCAAAAAAAATCAAGGTTAAAGTGAAAGTGTGTAAAACGGGATGTTTTACCTCTGCCCAGCTGCCTCCAACAGAGCAGTTATTCCCTCAGTCTGAGCGTAAGTTTTATCCAGAGTTTTCTCGTACGCTCTCATGTGCTGCAGGATGCCCCTGTAGGAAAGAAACAAACACAGAGGAGCTAACTTCAGATATTTCTGCTATACAGGCAGGAACAAAGGTGTTAGGTCAACTTGTGTAGGTTATATAATCCATGTAAGTATTGTATTTTTCCAATAAATGCAGTAGTGGTGTCCAAGCATGTACAATTCAGTAAATAATAAATGTACAATCACAGAATCTTTTTTCTGCAATGACCTCTAGAGGTCAGTAACACACAATGCAAACACAGAATGAAAATGCTGTTGTTAGTTTGATACATACAGTGTATATATATATAACTTTTTTCCAGTCTTCCTCTGTCCAATGTCTGTGTTCTTTTGCCCATCTTAATCTTTTTCTTTTATTGGCCAGTCTCAGATATGGCTTTTTCTTTGCCACTCTGCCCTGAAGGCCCAGAATCCCGCAGCCGCCTCTTCACTGTAGATGTTGACACTGGTGTTTGCAGGTACTATTTAATGAAGATGCCAGTTGGGGACGCTGTGAGGCGTCTGTTTCTCAAACTAGAGCTCTAATGTACTTATCTTCTTGCTCAGTTGTGCAACGCGGCCTCCCACTTCTTTTTCTACTCTGGTTAGAGCCTGTTTGTGCTGTCCTCTGAAGGGAGTAGTACACACCGTTGTAGAAATCTTCAATTTCTTAGCAATTTCTCGCATGGAATAGCCTTCATTTCTAAGAACAAGAATAGACTGTCGAGTTTCAGATGAAAGTTCTCTTTTTCTGGCCATTTTGAGCGTTTAATTGACCCCACAAATGTGATGCTCCAGAAACTCAATCTGCTCAAAGGAAGGTCAGTTTTGTAGCTTCTGTAACGAGCTAAACTGTTTTCAGATGTGTGAACATGATTGCACAAGGGTTTTCTAATCATCAATTAGCTTCTGAGCCAATGAGCAAACACATTGTACCATTAGAACACTGGAGTGATAGTTGGCTGGAAATGGGCCTCTATACACCTATGTAGATATTGCACCAAAACCAGGACATTTGCAGCTAGAATAGTCATTACCACATTAGCAATGTATAGAGTGTATTTCTTTAAAGTTAAGACTAGTTTAAAGTTATCTTCATTTGAAAAGTACAGTGCTTTCCTTCAAAAATAAGGACATTTCAATGTGACCCAAACTTTTGAACGCCGTTGGTATATATAATATATA